CAGCCATTGTTTGTGCGAACAAAAAATACGGGAATACAAATTTTTGATCTTACAATTACTAAGAAATAATATTTTATTCAACTAAACGTTTAATTTTCTCACGTTCTTTAAAATCGAAGCGGAAAAAAAATTGCGTGATAATCATTGTTTTTATTGATTAGAATGCAGTACATTTCGCTGCTGCGATGTATTAAAGGTCTACGGAACGACACTCGATCGACCCCTTTCTATGACCTCTGAAGAACCTAAAGATTCCATGGTGCCTTTCACCACGTTCGATGCGAATTTTCCTGTGCGATAGCGAACAACATCCATACCTGTTTTTTAAACGATATTTTTAAAGAGTCCAAGGTCAATCGTGACGAACTCGATAAGTAGTTAACAAAACGAGCGATAAGCTAATCATTGAAGCTGATAATTTAACGTAAGGTCGTTACAGCGCTATAACGTTACAACGCTGTCTCGCCGCGTTCAGTTATTAAAGACTGCTTTCCAGTAAATACCATCAGATTTATGCTAATAAGCTTGTCCCGCGTTCAACGAGAGAAAGGTTCGTTCACAGAGTACAAAAGGACATGACCGGTATAGTCTATAGAAGAGAAAAGTATAAAGGAGAGAGAGAGAGAGAGTATATCGCTTGCGCAATATTCAAGATACGCTCTGACTTCCCGACTTCTCATCATTCAACTGATGAGCTACAAAGGCATCAGTCATATGATGAGAACACTATATACTATACGTGTATACAGGGTATCCTAAAAAGGTCGGGACATCTGAATATCTCGAAAAATATAAGTTTTACAGAAAAGTGTTTCAGACAAAAGTTGTAGGGTTCAAAAAGATCTATTTACTGATCTTATCAGTTTGACCTTGGGTGACGTCGCCAAGATCAGATCAAGGTCACGTTGATTTTTTTAAATGGAACACTCTACTTTTGTTTCCTAGAAAAATAGCTGGTGTCGAGAGCTTTTCAAAACACTACAATAAAGTTATTTTTTATAAAACACTTTTCGAGTTACAAGGCTTGAAAGTTACAGTACTGCCGGCATTAACATTACGCAAGGTGTCCGACCGACGGCTAAAACTTCTAGAATATTGTTCAGGATCATATCCTAAATAACATTTGTCAAGATCAAGGCCATTCACCGAGATATTCAGGTGTCAGGACATTTTTGGGACACCCTGTATATACCTATATATACATACAAGTATAGAATCTAGTAAAATACACCCTATGAAATTAACTTTTTAAACACGAAAAAGAAATACGCGTTAAAAAAGAAGTGCGAAATGTTTCTAACTACCCTGGTGAAAAATTTTCTCAGAATTTTTCATATAATTTTTCAGAATTTCTATATAATTTTATAACTTTCTCATATTTTTTATACGAATTGGAACACTTCTCAGAAAATCTACGTCTTTTCAGAATTTTCCATATATGTTAATTTTGAAATATCGTAAGATTTCTAAGATTTTTTGTAAGTAATTTCTGATGAAATGTTATAAAATCTAAAAAAATTTAAAAATATTTTTTTAAAAATTATGGGATTAGAAATTTCAGAATATTTCAGAGTTCACATGTTTGAAAAATTTTGAGAGAAAATGTAAACTTTCCGACTAATATTTCTGAGTATTTCTGAAAAATGTTCCAATTCATATAAAAATTATAAGAAAAATTTTCACCATGGTATTAATTTATATTAGTAATTTCGTATTTGTCTTTCTATAAAATTATTTTAAAAAAGACGTACGATATTTGTTTTAAATCACAGTAATTATTAATAATTATTATATATAAAGATTACCTTTACGGTGACACTGCTGGCAGAGCTCTTGATGAGATCGATGATCTCCTCGCGCGACTTGTCATCCACATTGATCCCATTGACCTCGATCAGTCTGTCACCGGGCAATAGACCCGTGTCATTGTTGTGCTGCACCAGAGCGCCAGGTTCGGCGAAAATCACTGGTCGCATCTGCGTGACGCCGTTTGCCGCTCGCTCGACGATCACGGCGCGACGAAGCGAAAAGCCAAAATCATTTCGCGGTGGAGGTTGCCTCTGGATGGTGAGTTCCCTAGGTTCAGGTAACTCGAGCGGCACAATCTCTGGGAGTTGTAGTTCGATTCCTTGTTCTTCAAAGGAGACCGACGACCGCCACCTCGAGAAACCTTGGGACTCACCAACGGGCGATAGGCTGAACGGTGGCGTTGCAAAACTCGAGTTTGTTGTGTCTGTCAAGGAATCCGCGGATGGACTAGCACTGGTAACAACCTGAATGTAATAGAGAATACTAATAGAAGTTACACGTTAAAAAATTTATTTCTTATTATTATTTATTATTGATTTATGTTTAAGTATGATCTTAAAAATGCCGAAATATGAGACATGAAGTTAAATCTTTCGAATCATAAAATATTTATAACACATTTATTATTTAGTGTTTACATTGAAATAATTAGATATTAATAAAAATATCTGTAACACATTTATTACTAAAATTTAAATGAAAATAATAATTAATAAAAGTTATTTACATTTACACAAAATTTTAATTGAAAAATTTATTTATGAAGATATTTACGGAAAATATAGTTTATGAGCACACGACAAATATTGTAAGAGATATAATTTGCCCTCGTTGGTTTGACGGGATTTTCTTTCGATGTCACATCATATCAAATCTTAAACAAACCATCACTTGGCATCTCATTAAACGTTTCGGAAATGATCCTAATAATCGGGTTTCGCCACAACCGATGCGCGGAAGAGAAAGCGGGATGTTATCTAACCTGAAGCAATTTGGCGTCGATTTGATGATGTTGCTGTTGCTGTTGCTGGTATTGTTGCTGAATTGTCTGTTGTTGCACGATGTGCCACGCGGTTTGACACATCGTTTCCTCTTCACTGCAGTCGTCCTTGTTCAGAATGCTGTTAAGATGTGTCGGTACGTTCTGATAGGTAATCACCTCGTTCTGAAGGGTGTTTCTCACCAGCAAATTACTGGCTTCCTGGTAACTAGTTTCGGTACCGTTCTGCAACGTATTTTCTTCTGAAAGAACGTTCGCGACGCAGCTGTTGACAGTCAATCGGGGTCCTTTGAGGATTCCTCGCTTGGGCGGTTTTGGCGGTAACGGCGGTAGACACTTGCCGCCGGACAGACCGGCGTGACTCGTCGTCGTCGACGATGTAGTCGTGGTCGTCGTCAAAGAGGTGAGAGATGCCTCCGACGAGTCACTCTGCATCAAACCATCGGGTGTTCTAGTGGTCCAACTGCTGGCACCGGCGCTAATCGAACCTGGACCTGCGTTCTGCGAGGCGTCTAAAAGATCGCGGTCCAGATGTGCGAAAAACGACGCACTGTAATCCGCGGTGATGCCACTCGGTAACTTTTCCTTCTCCTTCCGACGACCAGGAATTTTTAGTGATCTACGGACCTGTAACAAAGCGCCAAAGAATGACATTTTCGAGAACCTTTTTAAACCAGCGGTGCCGGAAATATGTACCATACAAAATCCTATGAATTTTCTCAAGAGATTTCTTTTATTCTTTGAATGATGCGATTGTAATGACGTGTTGTCCATATTGCAGAACAATTTTGCAATTTTTATTTTTCGTTAATGCGCAACGAGTATGCGACCAACACTTCTTATCGCGTGAAACCACATCCAGCTGGCGACGATACTGATCTAAAGAAAAGAAGCTTTTCAAGACGAAATTTTAACGCATTTCTACGTTCTTTATTTTTAAAAATTTTCTTACTACCGATTAAGTTCTTCATATTGTCATTACCGGTATACACACGTTTTTTTAAAAATGCACAGTTTATTAATATCGATTAACGAAAGCAAATGGAGAACTTTATCACTTCGTGATATTGATAGCTCTGTTTATGCTGATATGATTTGTAATCCGAACAAAATATCGGTAACTTTGTGCAACTCATTCGTAAGCAGTATCAGTGTACATATGTACACTCATCTTGTCATTGCGATAACCAATCGCGCATTCGTCATAAGCTCAATATAAAAAAATTAAACGACTGGCAAAGCTCACAATTAAGAAAAATAATACAGATTGCAATAATCTGTTATAGTTTAGCAATTTTTAAGAAAATTGAAAAAGTCACAGTAGAGAAGTATTTCTTAATGAGAGTTCCCCTGCATCGTTCTTGCATCTACCTCATCCAATCGCAGAAGCTCCTCCGCGGACATGCTGCTGCGATCGCGCTTTTTGACATCCTTCCGTTCCTTCTTTTCGCGCTTCCGCTTCTCCTTGTCGTCCTTCTCTGCGGCCTTCTTCATAAAGTTAAACATCTTCTTCACTCGCTAAACGTCCCAAGAACGCGAACGCGAGAAAGAGACAACATACGATATCTCGTTTCTCGATTGCTCGATTAGCCCCACGTGACACGATCGCGGACAGTCTTGATTTTTCGCACCTCGTAGCATATATATGTGTATGTATACACATACATGTGTGTGTGTGTGTGTGCTATGTATTATGTATCGTGATCACGTAACACCGTTCGTCAAAATAAATGAACTTTTGCCGCGACTCGCGCGTGATCGGCGCTATTGGCCGTGCGAGACACGCGGAGTCGCGCGCATCGTTTTGTCACCGCCGTCGCGATGCCCGGCACTCACGACGACTCGAAAACCAGCTGTCTGTCACAATTCGTTTCGGAATAGGCCGTGTCGTTCGTCCGAGGAAGGCTCTCCCAATGCCCCGGCTCGCCCCACAGCGCACCGGTGCACCCTATCGACCGGTGATGGGGCGGCATTCATCGGATTTCCCTCGAGATCGTCCCCTAGAAATTCATCCAAAAAAACCTTAGTCATACTCGCGAGATGCATCGCTAATGAATGTATACTTAATAGACGATCTCATTGTGAGATTCCCGGAGACTGAGAATGCCGTCACATACAGTCCGTAATCCGCACCGGATGTCCGCAAAAATATCTATAGAGATTGCATACGTACAGCAGATATTTCTCACGTATTCGCAACTACGTGAAAAGAGAGTTCTAGTACAGTTTAGTGCACGTCAGAAAACAGACCATTTGTTGTATTTGCACTAATAACATATCAAAGATTCATTATGCACTTCTAATTTCAAAATTGTTGTCAAACAAATTAATCACTATTTATAAATTAAAGGTAGGTTATGGCACGTTTATTTCTGTTTGACGTCGGAGTGCAATTGCGTTGCGTGCTTACATGCTCCTTGTGTCCCATGGAGCCGCCAAATACGGACGTGTAAATGTAATATTTTTTTATTTAAGAAGTTATACTGTCCATTTTTATTTTATTTTATAAAAAATTACAGAATATATTTTGATTATAACAAAAGTTTTAATTAACCGTCAAATATAGTCAAATAGATAAAATTAGGAAAAGCATTATTGGTAATAACTAGTAATTTTTACGGAAATTTCATGGGATTACGGCTCCATGGGACACAAGGAGGTAAAACACACGTAACGTTATGGACGCAATACCTAGTAACTTTTGCAGACATCCAGTGCGGATTACGGATTACGGGCTGTATGTGACGGCACCCTTACTGCATCGAGTAAAGAGTCTGCTACCAAATATTGAGTTAAATAATAATTTCAAATGTTTGGTCCATATAACAAAAAAAAATTTTACCTTTCTAAATATTTAGCAATTATTATCAAACGGTTGGCTATATTATTACATAGAAAAATATGTTTGGTTGAATTAACTAGAATTCTAGTGGAGAGAGAAAACGATCCAGAATTCTAGTTAAATCTAAAATTTCTGGTTAAATCTATTAAAATTCTATAATAATTGAAATAACCAACATTTAGTAGATTTAATCTCTCTCAGAAACCTAGTAGACTTTTAACCAAAATTCTGGATCGTTCATTTTCCACCAGAATTCCAATTAATTCAACCAAACATTTTTTTCCGTGTATGTTTGGTAATACTTACTACTCTTTAAATCTTTTAGAGTAAAATCTCACTCCAAAGAGTTTTTATTCTTTATTGTATAGGAATGAGATTTTATTCTTTTGGAGTAAGATTTCACTCTTTTGAGTGAAAGTCATTCCAAGAGTGAAATCTCGCTCTTAAAAAATAAAAATCTGCCACGCTTGTCCAAGAGCGAAAAATTTTCACTCTTTTTTCAAGAATGGCTCAATTTCACTTCAAAAAATTTAGAGAGAAAATATTTAGAAAAGTAAAATTATTTTTGGTTATAATAACCGAACATTTGGTAGTTATTACCAGATTCTTTCTTCAGTGTAGGATGTCATTACAGTATAGGACATCTGTATATGAGGCATTCCACGTCAAACCGGGCACCTTTGGAACATCGTCATTTTTATTTTTTTTTTTTTAAGCAGACATTCTACAGATAAAAATATGAGACACGTGTTTCTCGAAAAATTTTGAGATTTTTTTGTGAAGTTATTCACGTTTGTAAGTTGCAGAAATTCATAAAAAAACGTCGCTCATGCGAACATTCAAATTATTATTCCGTCGAAATCATTAGTCGTACAAAAAAAAACGCAAGAGACCGATTTTAAAAATCTTAAATTGTTTTATGGATAGATTATTTTTACTTTATCGTTTTCATATAAATAAATCATTTTTCATTTGTTTACAATTTTTATTAACATTTTTCATCATCAACTCCCCGATTTAAAAATTTTGTAAAAATATCATATTCCCACTTCAATTATGAAGTAACCCTAAAAATTTCGAAGTGGAGCTCGAATGGGCTGTATAGTTACAAAACTCTGTATAGTTAAAAAATTCATCGTTGCACTGTCATCGTGCTAAGCTCATTGCCCTTTCATAGACACTCTAGTATTTAAAAAATTCTATTGTGTGACAGCGCAATTCGGAATACGTATGCCGGTTTAACGTGGCCTCGTAACTCTTAAAGTATTATCACATCGTTATATTATCATTGTACATACAGGTATTATATGTACATACAAGTGAACAAACTTCACAAAGATATAACAATATCGATACTATCGTTCACTGTTAAATCTATAATGTCAAATTCAACCTAACGTGAGTCGCCACTGCTCCTACTCAATCATATCATTATTTTATACTAAAACAACGGTTATATTTGACACTATACAGTGTCAATTTAACACTATATAGTGTCAAATTGACGATATAGTATTAAATTTAACTATTGTTTTGGTAAAAAATAACGATATATTTAGTAGGAGCAGTGGCGACTCACGTTAGGTTAAATTTGACACTACAGATTTAACAGTGTTATATTACAGCTTTTTTACTATATATGATATTTAGGGGAGAGTGGGGTAATGACGAATGCGGTAATGGCGAACATAGCAATATCAATGTATTAGAGAAAGAAAACAAATCTTGTTTCTTCATTTACCGACAACTCAGTTGTCACGCAGTGCTAGACAGACAGTAGCAGAATAAGGTTGCGCACAGAGTTCAAGGTAAACATAATTGAACTTTTTAGTCCTTTTCCAAATAATTTTTTTACTAAATTAAACTGCATATAGTTGCTGTTGTATAAATGATACAAATGAGTTATGCTAAAGATAAAATAAGCTAAAATCAACATTTTATGATCAATGTTTTGTCTAGCATGGGCTTAACTTCTAAAAAAAATTGTATTTTGTTATTTTTATGACGTGGGGTAATGATGAACGAATCGGATGGGGCAATACCGAACGATCGCCATTAGTTTCTTTCCATTTTCACACAAATGTCGTAAAAATGACTCAGTAAAGCACATGGTCTCGACCTTGCGCAAATTATAAATAAAAATTTAGTTAAATTTCATTCGTCAGAAAGTAAAAGGAACGTGCTTTTAACTGAGTAATAATATCGTAAAAAAATCACGAAAAATTTTGGAGAGGATAATCAAATAAAAAAGACAGATGAAGTATCAAAGAAGAGGAAGAAGTAAGAAAAGAACGAAAATATATAAAAACTGACTTTTGTGATTAGCTGTGATCAGTACTCTGTTCGTGATTATCCCATGGTAGTCGCGAAATCACGAACAGCAAGAGTTTTGTTTTGTTATTAAAAATTTATTTTATGTTCAAATCTAATAAAAAATGACGATAGACGTAAATAAACAAATAGTTGGTGTATAATTATAAGCAATTACAAAATTTATTTCTTACTTGGCATTTGTTTTATTTCATTTTCTGCTTAGGTGTTCATCATTACCCCACTCTCTCTTACACTACGATAATATAATGATATCGACACTATCGTTAAAAGTTACAGAATCCTAGTACAGTTTGATCGATCGCGAATGAGATTGGAATTACGCGGTACAACGTTCGCTTCCGCGCTCGACACATAGAATAAAGCGACTGAATTTGTAGATGGCACACTTCCGGGATCTCCTCGACGCGACTCGACGAATTTCCTCCGATTAACGTCAATTTTGGACTGGAGGTCGCCCGGATATGGTGCGCGCGTACGCAAGGGCGTGAACCGAAACGCTTCTTCATGGCCGGATATTCCTTCCGGCATGATTCGATACCGCGAGGTATGCGGAAACGGAGCGACAGCACGGGCAAAGAAGCGACGATATAAACGCAACCGTTGTTCGGTGCACGCGTTCGGTCGACTCACCGCGAGAGAAGCGAAGAGTTTTTTTTATCCTCTTTCTTTCCAGAGGCACACCGAGCTCGCGCGAAACGCGCGAATGCGCTCCCCTCGCGTTCTCATCGCGTGATGCCGCCGCCGCCGCCGCCGCCGCCGCGTAGTCAGCAGAAATAAAGAAAGTTGCCGAAGCTGGGTATTATCGAACCGATTACTTCAACGATTATCGACACGCGCGTTCTTTATTGCGTGAAAATTGAGCTGACGAGGAAACGATCAGCCGTTTGATTTGGGATTCAATTACAGGAGGTTGCAATTTTTTTCAAATGTATAATAATAGCGAGACGCGATCTAGCACATCATTTGCACCCTCGTTACTCGTTTATTTACATAGCCTCGCGAAAAACAATTAAGAAACCACAACTGTGGCCTGAAGATCTACGGGAGTAAACAGAAAATTAGAAAGGCGACAATTAACCGCTGCTAATGAAACCGCATTCTAGAGATTTTAATTATACGTTCATGTAATTTCTCGTGCATACACCGTCAGAGAGATAATTTAAATGTAATCGGGCCGACGCGGAAGTGCATTACGCAAACGTTGATCTTACATCATTGAACTATCACGCTTGCGAGGAAATGAATGACAGATCTGTGATAAAAAAAATATCTGTATGAAGGACGTAATGTATAATATCATGTACGTACTCTATTCTCGCGCGTGACGTTCATAATACACACACCGGCGCTATTCGCGAATAATGACACACGTTCGACTTTCACCACACCTTATTCCGCGTTTCTCACAGTTCAAGGGCGGGCTACGTCGGCGAATCTACAGGCGTGCCGATCGATTACTCGAAGCCGGCGAATTTTTCGAAGCACGCGATGTGTCGCCTCGGCAAACCGCTCCGAAAATTCCGACTGCGATCGATGCCCCGATTTGCTCCGATTCGCGGAGCAAATATATATGTAAACCGAGTGCGCGCTGCAAAGCGCAAGGAGAGCTTTACTGTCTTTGCTTAGCAGATGAGCAAAGTGTGTGAGAAGAGAAAAAGATTTAGATCTTTTCAACGGGCCATTTAAAATTCTCAATCATATCGCTGTAATCATAAGTATCGAATATATCGTAACGGCGCTTTACCGAGAAACTTTTATTAAAGACGTACAAGACCGGCGAATCTTCCGAAGCATGCAACCTTTTCAGCGAGCCGCTAGGAATGTCTCGACCGTCTCGCGATCGATGCCGCATCTTTGCTGCGCTTTGCACTTGGTTACTAGCGCGTGCGGTGCTCTCGTCTTCTTGAGCTAGGTTGGTTTTAATCAGGGAAGGCGCCCTACCTACGGGGTTCGATAGGCCACATCGATCGATCGACCCCAGGTGGAGAACGGAAGCGTGGCTACTTTGTACGTCGTTTAACGCATATTCTACGCGAGCTCCGAAACTGACAGCGAGCGGATCAGCCGTGCATGCGGCAGGAGACACGCGTCACATCAACGACATCGCCACCACAACACCCGCCATTCGCACGAGCCACTACGACGCGTGCTCGCGTAGGACGCGCGCTCGCGCTACGATCGTACGAAATTCTCGGTCCGATGATCAACGTACCCCAGGTAGACTTCGCCTGGTAAACCAACTGATAGATGAGGCGCGAGAGCTAGTTTGCTACGACACCAGCACCGTGACGGCCCAGCCGAGGTCAGATCTCGGTTGACCTCCTCGCGGTGCAACGCGCTGCAACGCGAGTACGTGCATCAGTCGGGGGAAGAAGTCAACAGCGGCGTTCTTTAAACGGCGTTACTACGACTCGGTCTCGTACTCGCTGCGACACGGGAGGACTGTCATGGCAGTCATGAATTGGAAGCGGGGCCGGTGGCGACTGCCAGCGCCTTCGGCCAGACAACGGCCTGTTAGCCAGCACCCTTCTTTTCCAGACAGCTACTCCAATACTCGGCGCATGCGTGTATGGGTTTTAGACCTTTCGATCCACCGGCGGAGCACGGCTTTAGCGGCATCTTCTAAAGCGATCCAGGTCTTTGACTCCGCGTCTCTAGCTACCACTTTCTGTAGAGTTTCTGTAAAGACAGAGAATGATTTCACCATCAGTCGATTGGAGAACCAGAGTGGTTGCACATTTCATGATTCGACTCTTGATAAAACAAAGAATTGGATTACTTGTAGTTTTAATGGATATGATTTAACAATAATTAAAAATGAAGATGATAATATCTACAATTAAGTAATTAATAGCATAACATAGTTCACTTCAAGAAAAAAAAAATATATATATGTGTACATATACATATAAGATATATGGAGAACTTTAGAATTGTTTTACATCAATAACGTTATACTTTATAAAAATACTATTTTACACCTATGTATATTTGTGCGGAAAATGATTTGCATTATTTTTATTGAATTTTTATATTTGGAGCATCTATAATTGTTTCAATATTCTTTTAAATTATTTTTATTTTTGTCACAATATCATTTTGGATTCTTGTCGATAAATATTCAATCAACACACCTCCATTCCGCCAGCTGGCAGTAGTTTCCATACAGATACGCACATGCATAGCATCGTACTATACATGCATATAGCACAAGTAAAATATACATATGTATGACATACAAATTTTTTTCAACTCTCCACGGTCTATCAGCTGATCGCTGATAGATCGCCCAGTGTCAGTAATTGATTGATCTTACATTTGCATTCTGTAGCGTTTAATCATGTTGTGTCGTAACATCTTGAGAACACGTACTATGCGCAATAAACCGGCTGTATTCGCCTGCCTGCAATGTTTGGTGAATAACAATCTCACGTTGAAACATCCAGAGCAACGTTTGTTTGTTTCGGACATACGTGAATGTACGATCGGCAATGTTCTCGATCAATGGAGTCGCCGATTCGAGAGCGAAGGCGTACCTGAGCCAGTAGAATCCATAGAACATATAGTGGCGCACGTTATAGGGATTAAAAAGGTATCCGCAATTTTGCTATTTTCTCATTTGTGACATTTTGTGTTCGATGCTATTTACTCTCTAAATCTGAATCAGTGGATAGTCACTAATTATCCAGTGGCATACTTGGCACTGATAATCAGTGAACTTCAATTAAAAAGGAAAGAATGTTTGAGCATTGTATAACTAAAATATTGATATTTGCACGTTAGTTTCAATCTTCCAATACCACATTCATTGAATTTAAGCACTAAAACAAGGTTAGTTAGATCACATAATAAAAATTAGCTAGGTTAGGAATCTCACATTTAATTCACTGATTACCAGTGGCATACTTGGCACTGATATCAGTGATTGTCCACTGATTCAGATTTAGAGAGATAGCAAATTAGGAAGTATTAATATTATTAGAAAGTACTGATGACATACATTAGGGAATATATTATAAGACAATATAATAGAATAAATAGAAATAAGAGAGCTTTGTAAAAAAATTTTGAAGAAATATTGAAGCTTGATTCTGAAGATATGTCGCTAGACTCTAAATCAACAAGTTCAAATTGCTCTAATTCACTCTTATTATTTGCAGATAATAGATGTTTGTAATGTCAGAAATGATACTCTCAACGCGAGCCAGATCGAGAAATTGGAGTTGTTATGTGAATGTCGTTTATCTAGGTAAGAGGCCTTTAAAAGAGGCCTTATAGTCTACCATACTGGATCATATTGCGCAAAGTCTTTCGCGCTCGCTTATGAATGCCAAGTCCTTGCAGGATGCCAGTTCAGTATATTATTGGCGAATGGGATTTTCGAGACATTACCGTGAAACTTGTACCACCGATTTTTATTCCTCGTCCGGAAACCGAAATACTGGTAGATTTTGTGTTGAAAAGACTGAATTCGTTACAAGCTGATAGTTGTGAAATTTTAGAAATAGGTTGCGGCTCAGGTGCTATATCACTCGCTCTCGCACACGCTTGTAAAAAGGTATGCAAGATAATTTTGTTGAGCTATTTTGTTAGAAACAGACTCTGATAATTATAATTGAAGATATGGCATTTATTTTTTTTAGATAAAATGTATAGCGATTGATGAAAATTTACACGCTTGCAATTTGACGATGATAAATCGGAGCAAACTGGATTTAATGGAGCAAATTACAGTAATACATGCGACTCTAAAGTCAGATGCGAGTATTGAAGCTTTGAGCAACTTGAATGGTGCTGGTGACAGCAGGGATTTGAATTCAAAACTGTTTGACTATGTGATCAGTAACCCGCCGTACGTGCCAACAAAGAAGATACCGGAATTACAACCTGAGATAAGAATGTAACGTGCAAAATGCAATTGCGAATTTTAAATTATAAATGCGTAAAAAATTAATAACATATGTATTATGTAGTTATGAAGATCTCCGAGCGTTGGATGGCGGTGATGATGGATTGAAAGTGATTAAGCCGCTCTTAAAATATGCTGCAAAAGCACTAAAACCTGGCGGACGTCTTTTTGTGGAGGTTGACCCCACTCATCCGGAATATATACAATTTTTTACAAATAAGTATCCTGATTTGAATCTCCATTATGTACACACGTACAAAGATTTTTGTAATAATGATCGTTTTGTGGAAGTATTGAAAGTCGTTTGAAGAAATGATTTTGACGCCACTTTGTATTATTTTGTATATGATTATTTTAGAAAATAATCTTAATAAAAACGGCACACATGCAGGTTGTATATATTATATAAATTTATTGCATATAACTTTATCTGAGTTACTAATACATTTCTATGTTGGACGGATCAGTCAGTATTATTTTAATACTTTTTATAATTTAATCAGTCAAATCTTTTTATCCATGATTGTATTGCATTAAATTTGCAAATGCATCCTATGTTTAATGTAATGATATATACAGTGACTGATTAATAAATTAAATTCGATTGGATTTTGATTTGTAACAATAAAACTACAATATCATTTATTTTTCACCTCTATAACGTTTATGCTTTCGTGTAAATATGAATACGTGTAAAATGTTCTGTTTTGCTATATTATAGTTCATATAATGGAAAACTTCGACGTCAAGTTATAAAATTTTGTGAAAAAGATTTTTTGAATATTTACATTGTTCTTTGACTTATGCTTAAATATATCACTTTGCGAGCATTTAAGCTAAATATTGCATCCTGTTGTACTTGCTACTGGGCTCTACTGGGATGAGAACTTTTCAAGTTCTTTTTTGATTGATGCGATCAAAGGTACTGCAGGATCTTCTGGTGGAAGCCTGCTATCTGCTAATATACGCCTGGTGTCTACTTCTGGTAAGTTTGGTCTATGAAACGGACCCGCGCTGAGTGGTCTTGAGCCCCAGGCACCGCGAGAATGAATTGATTCGGTTTGCCCAGTTTCCGGAATATCCTCATCCAGACCTCTACGTGGTAATGATGTACGAGGTCGCATCTTCATTTCCATCGTTGGCGTTGCTACTGGGCTGTATAGTTATAAAATTTTTTACTACTCAATTAATTTAATTCTTTATTAAATTTAATGTATGAATAGTATATAGAACAGTCTAGTAATTATGATATTATTTCTTCTTTGTAGATAGAACAGGTTAAATTGAATAGAAAAATCCTTGTTTTATTATTTCCTCAATAATTAATGAGGAATTAAGAATAAATAATTAATTAATAAACACTTGCGAGAATAAGCATCTATGTAATTCAATGACAGAAAACAGTTCAGCGCTACGCATTATTTGTGGTTGCTAGGCGCACGTTCTTTTCCCCATGACTTATGGCTTGCAGTGCGCGTAGCACCCACGATTGTTGCGTAACACTACAAAAAATGATTTTTTGCTAAAGTATCTAACAATTTAGCTAAATGCGGATTTAAAAATAAATTTTGTTGGATTATCAAAATAATTACGTAGAACGCTCAAGCTAGTTGCTAAAATATCAAATCTTTTTATTTTATTGCTCATCATGCTTCAATTTCCTATCATAATTACTTTATTGATTCAACAAAATTATTTTTAGATCTGTCTATCTAAATTTTTAAATATTTCTCCGGCAAAATCTTCTTTCCGTGTAATTTCTTCCCGAGGCGTATTTACAATTAGACACGTTGATTTACGAACTTCCCTTAATTAATTTTTTATTAATTATTAATAAAAACGATAAAGAACTTTTCTATTCAATTTAACTCGCTCTACCTGCTTGCGAAAGATGGCGCGGTAATTACTAGATACCCCATATATAATGATAAAATATACGGCGAGGTTTTTCACTGTAAGTGGTTACATTTAAGACATTTATCTCTTATTGGTTTTAAAAATACAGAAATATGCGTACCCGGTGTTGATAATGATTTATATATATATAGCGATTTTAGACATTATAATAACTACTGTAATTATTCGTTAAAAGAAGAAGAAAGACAAGGATATGTACCTGACGTGGGCGGATTTGCCTCTGGTTTCTGAAAGTATCGCGAGTGTATCCGCTGTACGTGCAACGGTGATCGGCTGCGACGGTCGCTGCGACTCTTTGATCTTGACATCTCTGCTTCCGAAGAGGCTGAAGGAGTCCTCGAGCAACTCGTGGAGTCTCTTTCTGGCGCGGCCCACGGGTCCGGATGGTAGATGGTACATTCCATCGACATCCGTTTCGGACGTACCATTACCTTTAGACAAGTTGAATCTTTCGAGAGATTGTGTGAAGAAATAAATATTTTTTACATCTTACAGTAATCGATTGCGAACGAATGAGTTGGTGTAACTTTACTATACCTTAGACTAAAATAATTCGTAGAAAGATATTATACTTATTCGTTCGTAATCGATACGAAGAGAAACATTGACGTTGCTGGAAGAGTATTTTTAAAACCATCGTAAAATTACAGATATTGATATTAAAGACAATGAAAGAACAAGGGCAGTAAGAGTCAAGCGCGGGAGATGTTACGCAAATAACACGACTATCGTAGCGTGAAACTTCTTTATTTTACTAAAGCGCTTACATGTTTCGGCTCATTTTTGAGCCTTCTTCAGAGATAACTAATAAATTCAGTCAGTGTCGCTCGTGCACAGGAAGAAGTCGGTCGGGCGTTGACTTTAGATCATTTTCAGGAATTCCTTTTCTTGATTTTGATTAATTTTTTAACGCTAATTTTCTAATTACTGTCTCAATAAAGACCAATTAAATCAATAAGAGACTAACTGTGTCTGACACTGACTGGCCAACTTATCAGAAACGGTTTTTGAGGTATTAAGAGTAATGTTTGCGATGCGGTATCTTGTGATCAAGGTGAGCTTCCTAACCATCGAAATAATTAATTATAATTTCAAAAATTTTTTGATACATTAGTTTTACATTTTCTTTATTTCGAGAATTTCAAAATTTCTTTCCCCCTTTTTTCTTTTTTACTGCATTCTTATCTGGATTTAATTCTGGCATTTATACTCTCGAGGTGAGGAAGATCACCATGACTAGTTAATAATTGTTATTTTCTATGTACGTGAATTTATTAGTTATCTCTGAAGGAGGCTCAAAAATGAGCCGAAACATGTAAGCGCTTTAGTAAAATAAAGAAGTTTCACGCTACGTAGTCGTGTTATTTGCGCAACATCTCCCGCGCTTGACTCCTACTGCCCTTGTTCTTTCATTGTCTTTTGATTTATAAGGAGTCTTAGTCAGGTGGATTTATTATATGATATTAAAGAGTTAGAAAAGTAAAATATGTTTACCTTCTGTAGAAAGTATCTGTTTCCTAAGATTCCATACAATCGGTCCTACAGCTCCAGGATCCTTTGAGGCACTCGATGTTCTTGCGAGAAACGTATCGTCAATATTGTCATTTCTATTGTGACGCACTAATTCTGGAGAATCGATGTCTAAGTGCCTAATCTAGAGTATATTTTATTATTAGTACAAAAACATAATTGATTTATTTCGATCGATGATCTAGTTTATTTTTCGAAAATTACCATGACTGGTTCCAACACTCTTGAAAGTGGTTCTACGCTACGCATACTAGGAAATTGTTTGCACGATGGCATTGATAAATAAGATCGTGGCGAAGCAGTAGATTCTTCTTTATGTTTTGCATAACCGTTCTCTAAAAACTCCAATGTCTCTATATGATCGGTTAACGAATCCGGTGACTCAGCTCGGTCCATTGCGTTCGCTCTCGTCATTTTTCCATGAGATGCTCTATATTTCGTATATGAAATGTACAATTATAATACATATACTTTATCTTTTACTTACTACCCAAGCAACAATTGGACGTCCTTGGACATCCTTCAACGTCCGAAATACGTCCTGAAAAGTCCAATTTATGTCGCTATATGTTAGACGCCTGAAATACATTCTAAGGACATTGCTTGGATGTAATAATGAAGTTATTTACAGATATTTTAGAGATGTCCAAGGTACATCGCTAATATATGTTTAATTTTCAAGCAGTGCGCAAAAAATCGTCGTCAGCAAGATCCGGGGACCAAGAACTATCAAACAACTTTATACACATTTATCTTGGAGCTCAATAACTGTACAGTATCCTTCTATTTACTTTCAATAATTTATTGATCAGAGAAGATGAATAATTTCCGAATTATCTGTGCCATTCGAGATTGGACGTATTATCAACGTCTATTAGACGTCTTTGGACGGTACATTGTACGTACGAAAGACATTTACGGGATTTGGTTTGGACATCCATACAACGTCGAATTGTTGCTTGGGTACTTATATAATTAATTTATGTGATTAGATTTTATATTATTATTATCAATTCTCTTGTGTATGATCGTGTAGCTTAGCTTATTAATGATAATACCATAGTCGCTTCTAATTAAATTGTCAGGAATTTTTGTGATTACCTTGCTTTCTTTGCTGCGTGTTTTTGAATACTCCAAAGGACCGATCCACGAGTTTTCTTCGGTTCTTCGTCGTCGTCGTCGCTGGAAACTTCGTGAATGCCTAATTCCAGACTATCGGGCGTGTCAGGCGTGATCGGAGTTCGGGATAAAGTCCGTGGAGTTTGCCGCTGACTGGTACCATCGGTCTGCGAACAAGGATGGGTCGAATAAAAGACAGTGATATCCGAAGAGTAACAATTTACTCGACGAAGTAGGAGCAATATTTTGTTAGAATCGATATTGTCCTGACATCGTAGAACTGAATTGTCTTTCCTCCTAATTTTCGACGTCGTTTCGTTGATTGTTCGCGTGCCGTAATGGTTTTAATGCGTCGAGCTTGTTTCTCTATGGTACCCCGTAACCTTTGTATCACGCAAGGAAAGAACTTTAAAAATTATGAAGTATTCTTTTACAAAAAAATTCGCTTTCTCAATTCCGTACAATACATTTAGCAGACGTACATTTCGTTCCTATTACACGCCCTCTGCATAACAAAATATGTCATATAATAGAAATTTAAGCTAACGCTGACTCGTAATCTCAAAAACTCGTAATTTTAATTCGAAAGATTTTTTTATCTAGTATAATACATAAAAACCGTATTACACATACCTACCTTGATTTCTGTTTCCGATGTTGAGAATGCAGTATTATCGAAACCGGACGTCGCAGTTCCATATTCACGTTCCTTTTTAAGAATACTTTTGTTCGGCGGTGCAACGACAGCGCTGTGTGCCCTTTTTCTTTTGGCAGCCAAAATTAAACCAACGAGAACGATAATTAGCAAAACGACACCCGCGCCAGCGGCACCAATTAACAGCCATGCGTCTCTCCTTCTCGATAGAGCCAGAGGTATACTCTCCTTTAGATAAGCTACGAGAGAAAGTAACATAATTTATATGTGAGAATGTAACATATTTGTAATGACAATATTTACGAAATCCTTTCTGATAAGATTGTTATTTACTTACGTTCACTTTGAACAATTACCGGTGCACCGAGTTCCAGAGCGACTTCTTGGGGTGAAAGAAGCGCCATATCTCTTGCAGCGGTTTTAGCAGGAACAGGCTTATCATCGAGATGAACTGAATAGATCAATCTCATCGCACCATCTTCAATAATGCTCGTATTCTGCATTCTAACTTTTACTATTCCCGGAATCGAACCGTCCGCTAAACGTAATCTTGAACGTACGCTTGTATTCGTATCTTCGTTATCATTAGATCGGCTTCTGGAGATGTTTTCAGTATTCAGTTTTGAATCAGATGAGGGAATTGGAATTGATTGTAGCGGGAATTGTTTGCTGGAATCGTCAATTGTATCGGGGACAAGATGTGTTGGATCGACAGTTATAGATTCATCGTTTTGTGTAGAAAAGGATTTTGTTTCCTCTTGCAACGTTTTTATGATCTTCTTCAAAGCGAAATCGTCTTTTGCAGATTTATCGTAATCGTTTGTTGCGTCAATGTCAAATACTGGCAGCAACATCTTTTTTGGTTTGGGAATTTCGATCATTCTCATGGACTTGACTTGCGAAACGTTCGAAAAGTATTTCTCGTCAACTAAGTTTCCAACGCTCGTTTCAGTTCTTGCGTGAATCGTAGAACTTTCATTGGTATCAACTGTTAATTCGAATGATTGAGTTTTGGTTGTATTTGCGGAAATTTCTTCTTGCGGAACTTTTACTTGAGACGAAGTTTCAAAATGTTTTTGTATGTTCTGTAAATGTTGAAAAGAATAAGGATAATGGAAGAAATTAATATCTAATCGTACATTATACCTTTCGGTTAACAAAATCGCGTAATAATGCGTCTCTTCGTGACCGTTGATCCATATGGAGATGCAGTTGCTGCCGTCTGGAAAACGCGGCTCGATACAAGCGAGCCAATCGAAGCTCAATTTTGGGCGGTACAGCTTCACCTGGTCGAAGAACTGTCAACAGCCAGTACCTATCACGACACAAATTTACCTTTCTTTGTTTTACTTCTTAATATCGTAAAGCGATGTTTATATAGTGATATTTAGAGATATGCCAAATTAATATAATAAACATATAATTATCATATTTATTCATTCATCAAATCTTTTAGTCATTTGTTAAGATTTTTTATTTTTTAATTTAAAAAAAATATTCTCCAATAATTAATCTACCTCGGACCAGGGTCATCTCCGATAAGAATTCCGATGCTCTGATCGTCATTGTCGTCCAACCTAGGTGTCGGTTCTATGCACGTGACGCATTCTGGATTGTAAGTATCGGGACGATGAGGCGATATGGGGTCTTTCTCATCGGTCGGGGTGTAAACTGTGACAGTGTGAACGATTGTTTTTGTTTCGTAATAAGTTAGACCCTGACTGGGATCCACCCATGGCGGCGCGTCTTCCAGGCCAGTCCAAAAGAAATCCTGGAGATGCACCCGCCGTCCCGGCAGATGTTCGATCACGATAATCTCGTCTTCTGTACATTAGCGGAAATTGATGTATTTGCTTTTGATTTTGTCGCGTGTATAACATTTGAAAAATGAGTATACGAATGTACATACAATATAATGAAATATTCGAGGGGGTAACCACTAACTGAAATATTGTCCCACAGATTACATGATTTCATATGATTTCATCTGATTATAAATAATTTTTTTCACTACATATGAAGTAATTTGATTAAATATACGATTTTATTTAATATTATATGATGATTTCGTGGTTGCATATGTAATTATTGGATTATACATAGAGATTTCGTATGAATTTTATAATGATTTCGAGGACTTTGTCCCACGATTACATTAAGTGGTTACCCCCTCGGACATATTTATTATGAAAATTACAAAAATTACTTCGCCCGTCATCTTTATATTTAAATATCATTATCTATATCTTCAATGAAACGTTATATATATGTTATAGCTATTGTGTACTTAATAATTTTAATCGATCGATTAATGTTATAGACATTTAATTTCTAGTTACAGTCTAAAAATGAGATTCTTATTAATAATTTTAAATTATTGCCACAGTCTTACCTTACATAAAGTATGAATAATTTTTAATTTTATAATTACGATAAATAATTATTTTTATGACTTATAAAACTATAAAAGAATCTTATGTTTTATTGATAAAAACCCATATTCTTCGAGAATAAGAAGGGCAAGAAAACACGGATGTTTATACGCGGAAGCTTTTCCAGAAGATACCTTATCGATGGGGCCAATGACCGGCCGTCATGCGACTTATCGGCGATGTCACGACACCGCTGAGGATGAGCCGATCATAATAAATGCGACAATAAAGACGGAGGACTTGAAATTGAGCTTCCTTATCACGCGATCACGTGATTGAAGATCATAAAAGTTGTACAATCCATTCACATGCGTGAGTAAAACTGTTTTCTTTGGAATTACGGATTAAAAATATAATTTCTGTTGTCGTTTATTATGTCATTCTAAGAATTCCGGGGAGTAATGTACTCTTAAGCTGAAAGTTTCTTATTGATTGTTTTTTCACGTTAATGGTTAAAGACTGCACTGAGAGAAAAGTTTTTGGTATTTATAACTAATTACAGTATTATGTTAATCATATAAAATATGATTGGCCCCAAAAATGATTATAAATTCTACTTAAATTATAGTAATTGTATTTTTATAGTAATAATAATATGTATATATAATTCTACTATAATTCATAGTCATTTCAGCGATAACTATATTTGTTGATAGAATTATACGTATAGTTATTAATTATTATTACTATTATTATAGCAGTAATAATCATAATTGTATAACACATAATTATAGTCATAAATATTTAAAAACTTTTTTTTACTGTTACACCTGTGTAAGTAAGAATTTTACGTTTTAACACGAGTTTCAAAGCGAAATTGATTTTGGATATATTGGATAGTTTCAGATGTTGCAACTGGTCATCGCTCGAATTATCGATCAATTATGACACTATGTGGAACGCGTCCATGATCTATTCTGCTCGCGGAATTTTTTTCACGTTGTTACAACGACCTGGTTTCACGCTTCGTTTGACTTTCCGGTGCGGAAATATTATTGAAGTTCCATGTATCATTTGCAGTTTCGCAACTTTGTATCTATGAGCGAGTGATTTATCTCTATCTTCAAATTCATCTAATTACCAACGATTGAGAGATTGCAATGGTTTTGTATATACATATATTGTAAATATGATATATGCTGCATTAAATGTCTTTTTCTGTTGGAGAACTATTCAATCATTCCATATATACGCAGAGTTCACAGTCACGCGGCATACCTCAGGTATTTTTAGTACGTGATGGTAGTGTTAAATCAATAGAAAACGAAGTTCCTATGGTGAGAATGAGTCGAATTGATCGCTATTAACCCCCGTATGCCGCACTGCTCATTCCATTGCATTCTCGTTGATATTCCCGTAAATTCACGAATAGTGCACTAACATTTCTACAACATATAGATGATATCAAGTAATCAGTAGTAAATATTATTTCTGACACAACTTGTTTTAAGAAAAATCTATTTTTATGGTATACTCATATTTTGTAATATTACAAAAATATTACTAATTGTAAGTTATGACACAACTTATTGAACATCAATATCTTACCGCAAAATAGATCAGAATAGTAACATCATATTCGCGTACGTATATATATAAGCATGCTGATAATAATATCGATTATCTAGCACACACCTGCATAAGAGCGCTGAATTACTTAAGCTGTCTCTTAGGTGGTGCCTAGTCGGCAACCAGTTCAATTTCGAATAACGCGTTGGTAGCTCATTGATAACAAGGTCACGGAAGAATGCACCCTGCGCGGAAATGAGATCACGAAGCGCGCAGCACATCGCTTGTGTTTTCACGTGCACGTGTATCACGATGTGAAAGAACGGTTCCGAATCGATCGAGCACGTGGAGAACCACTTATATGCGACCTGGCTGATTCACACACGCTACCTGTACGCGCGTAAAATTTACCGCGCGATATTATGGGGTAAAAATATGTAACTTATTCGCGTAGGATTCGTATTTATATAATAATTTCAATAAGGTGTAAGAGCAATAAAAGAATCAAAATGCGAAGTGGAGCGATTCCTTTAATGAGATAATTCTGCATTAAAAAGGGTAATAGCGTTCTAAACAAATAATTGATAAGTGGAAATAAATACTAAAGAAATACAAAAAGGTTTGTATAGAACTAGAATCAAATGCAATACGAAAGCCAACATAACTACAAAAGTAAGCACTCAAAGAAGCAAAACGATGCGTTTTCATATCTTTATGTGTATCACTATTTTTATATAGATTTGTCCATAGTGAACTACTTTAAAAATGCGTCGCACTAACCGGCTCCTGGTGGCATGGACGCGAGCACTCTCGTGATATTGGAGTTCTGCAGTAAGAAGATTGCAATCTGCACGACGGTGCCGAAAGACGCGGATAGCGCTCCACGCAGTATACTGCATAGTAGCATCGCGTTAAGCGCTCCCCGCTATACTGATTTGACGATACTAAGGGGTGTTCATGGATGAGTGACAGTGTTAGAGCAGAGTAGAGCCTGCGCAGAGGTTGCATAGGTGAAAAAACTGATATATAACGCGACAGGTAGATAGAATTGCAGAAAAAAAGAATAGTAACTGGCAATTAAGATGTTATTTTACTAATCTCTTCTTTCTTTTCTGTTTGCACTTATCGTTTTTATATGTAACTAATGTATTTCCCATAAAGTTGTGAGTTTATACCTCAATCTAATTTGCCTGTAATCTTTTTTACCTGCTGTCGCTATGTACATCCACATGTACTAACGATTACTTTGTGTCTAGTCTAAAAAGTTACCTTCTTGATAATCGATAAATTAAAATTAAATCTTGAATAAGATTATTTTTGTTATTTTGAATAATATATATATATATATATAAAATTTCAATACTTATAATATAATATTTTAAAATAAAATAAACGTGATATTAAATTGATTTAAAAAAGATTTTTGTTGACACTTTAATTTTTGGTCAATTAAAGCTCTTTGAAAACGCAATAATTAAGGGGATGGGTGAAATAAAGGCCTAATTGTAAAATCTTGATATTAATAAAAATTAAAATAACTTGCTACTTTTTTATTATACACAAATGAGTACAGTATCGAATGAATTTATGTAATGTCTTTAAGAAGTTACATGTTACAATACTTTTCTAATACGATCAATATTACATGAAAAAGCTAATTGCTAGAAAAAAGGCCGAAGTAGAATTGTGCCTTTATTCCGTCCATCCCCTCAATTATTGCGTAACATTTATTTTCGATATACAAATTGATCGTTTTTAATAACAATATAATCTTCAATACATATTATTTTATTAATTTTTTGTTAGGGGAGACCAGGGTCAATAAACTATAGGAGTAAGTAGAATAATCGAGGCTACGTTACAAACAAATCGCGCGAGACACGCGTAAACCCGTCTGAGCACGCAGCAACGACTGCCGCTCAGTCTGCTGTAACATCTCGTTGGTAATACATCTATGATAGAAGTTACGCTACAATTGTAAAAAATCATACACCTAAGTAAACATTTTTATTCTTAAAGTTTTTGTTTTACAATCGTATATAATTGTCTGAGATATTTTATTTCCATTTAGATAGTGAGCGTAATTCTTACTTAATAAAGTCCAACAGATTTTTTTTGTTTATCTTAATTTGTTATCGTATACTGTTAATGTTTTTAAAAAATGGGACTAGTAAGCTAATCATAATACGGGGCTATATGACTAATTTAGTGATGATTCTGATAGTATCTACTCCCAAACTTCTTGGAATGAAATCTCACTCTAAAAAAGTGAAAATACAGTCAATTTTAAAAAAGAATGAAAATACAGTCAGTTTTGAAAAAGAGTGAAAATGTTTCACTTCTTAAAAAAAAGTGGCAATATTTCATTCCTTTAAAGAGATTTACCTCAGTGGTAAATGTTATAAGTTTAGTTCCCTCACGTCTAATTTCGATAAAACTAGGCTCATTCGACGTGTTTTTGCGCGAAAAGAACGAATTTAGCAAAAAGAAGCATTGTTCTGCCTTGTGAATCGAAATGTTAATCGTTAAGTTTGTTAAGTTAGAAAATCTGTCATTCACTATGCCCTGGTAAAAACGTTGATAGAGAACAATAGAAAAATCCTATTGTTTTGAATATGAAATTTGGTTTGTAAATTCACTAATTTGAATCAGATCTTATAGGAATCTTGTATAAATCTTCAAAATCCGATAAAACACGATAGCATTTATATCCGATCAATCGTGACGCTCGCGAGGTCAACGATAGAAAATGATATAAACTTATAGGAAACAATACAAATTAATAAAAATCCTATCGTTCTCAATCATTCTCTATCAACTTTTTTTATCAGTAATAATAGTTAAATTGCATGTATAAGAAATTTTTCATGCATGAATATGTATAAATATGTATAAACATACAATATGATAAATTATATACATTTATGAACATTTATACATAAACATGTATAATTATTCATAAACATATATAATTATATATGGAACATAATATCTATATATGTTCATACATCCTTCTTTCTTTTATAAAATTATTTTTAAGTGTAATAGAAGTAGTAATAAATAATGTGAAAATATTAAGAATAATTAAAAGGATAATTGTGTGAACATGTGTATGGGCACATTCTAAATGCATAAAGAGTAATTTATCGTATTATGTTTGTTATAATTGCAATATTATTCATAAACATATATAATTATATATGGAACATAATATCTATATATGTTCATACATCCTTCTTTCTTTTATAAAATTATTTTTAAGTGTAATAGAAGTAGTAATAAATAATGTGAAAATATTAAGAATAATTAAAAGGATAATTGTGTGAACATGTGTATGGGCACATTCTAAATGCATAAAGAGTAATTTATCGTATTATGTTTGTTATAATTGCAATTCGGATAACTTTTCGGATTAGATAAATTATCATTTAGTACAAAGTTATACATTTTTCATTTTATAATAAATATGTTTGTGTTTAAAATACATTTTTATAAAAGTTTTGTTATTACGTAGCCAAAGATGTACCTTAAAATATACATTAATCTTCATTTTAATAATGTTAATCAAATTACCCCATACCATTAGTCATCTTATCCCGGTTTCCGGGGCTAGTTCAATCAGATGGAATGCATTAGAAAAATGCATTTTTTTTCATATTAGTCATCAATTTCCCCTTTTATTATTAAAATATTATTAGATAATCAAATGTATGTAGTAACTGCGTAGAACTCATTTTTTCTATAAGTTCCTTAATTTTGTCTATAAAAATTTGAAACTGAAAAATGAGATTTTCGGATTAGATAAATTATCATTTAGTACAAAGTTATACATTTTTCATTTTATAATAAATATGTTTGTGTTTAAAATACATTTTTATAAAAGTTTTGTTATTACGTAGCCAAAGATGTACCTTAAAATATACATTAATCTTCATTTTAATAATGTTAATCAAATTACCCCATACCATTAGTCATCTTATCCCGGTTTCCGGGGCTAGTTCAATCAGATGGAATGCATTAGAAAAATGCATTTTTTTTCATATTAGTCATCAATTTCCCCTTTTATTATTAAAATATTATTAGATAATCAAATGTATGTAGTAACTGCGTAGAACTCATTTTTTCTATAAGTTCCTTAATTTTGTCTATAAAAATTTGAAACTGAAAAATGAGTCTACTATCTCCGGTCTCCCCTATATTCGACATTTAGACATTAGACATTACTGATATTTTTAATTTATTTAATTTTTTATTTCTTTATCACAGCTGCAACTTTGTAACTTATTGTTTAGCATTATAACGTGATTATTTTCGATATAAGAGAGTTCTTTTACAACTATATCAATTTTTATTTCTATTTAAATTTTATTTATTTTATCATAATTTATGCATTTTTCTTATCCTAATCCTTCTCATTTTAAAGTTTTCGTTTTCACACTATTAATAATGCTTTCCCGTTCTCTCGCATATAATAGACATTTATTACATAATATCTTTCCTCCTGGAGAGAAAAGGAAAAAAGAACTGGTGCAAAAGTTCAGCTAAAAAGAACAGCTCTAATATCACAGTTTAATGACTCTATTTCCTATACTCTGTTTCTTTATTCCATGCGGATTTAAATCACGATTCAATTATTTCTGACGTTCACTTTTGGTATCAATAATGGCTCTCATTGGAAATGATTCAGAATAATGATACAGCCTGAGATGTTTCCGTGCTTAGAAACTATTGATACGCAAAGTAGGATACTCGTATTTTATTCATTAATAGCTCGGCACACATATCAATTTCACAGCGTAACTCTCTAGACCCACTAACCAAGTGAATAGTATTATTCAGATTTTTAATCTCATCTTTCACAGAGAAATGAAAATCGCTAATAATTATTACAGTATATACCGATTTTAGGAATACTTTCATGATTAAGTAGTTTACAAATGAATGTAAGTATTTAATTAAATACGATAAAATTTATGTGAAGGCATACGTAACACACACACACACACACACACACACACACACACACACACACACACACACACA